ATGGCTGGCTGGGGAATTCTGGGAATTGAAGTCCACACATCTTAAAGTTGCTAAGGTTGAGAAACTCTACTCCATGTGAATAGGGCAGACCTGACTGTTGGGTGGAAGAAAAGTAGCACATCGTTTGCACATTTGCCAAGAAATTGGTCCCAGCGAAATGCCAAGTTTCTGTTTTGCAGGCCCTTTAAGGAAGAATAACTTCCCTCTAACAGCAGTTTCTGTATACCTAATAGGTGTACCTGAACCAAATCATGATTGTGTAGTCTTGCATGAGGTGGTGGTGTCGGCTTATTTGTAAACACAGCTCTGCCCTCTCCCTTTCGTCAGTATTTAAGTCTCCAATTTTAATTAATTGAACTTACAATTTAATTAATTACTTACATTAATTACATTTAATTTGTCATGAACTCGCCAGGTAGCCCAAAGTAATCAAGTATCGGTCTGCCGTGACCCATCTTATGAATGAAATTATAGAGACTTGAGCTGGGTTCACGTAACATATAAAGCCATAATGTGGCTTGCTTGTTTGAAGATCAGCATGTTGTATGATTTCTGGAATTGTGATTTGTAAACTGGGGTTTATTTTGGTTAATTCAACAAATCATAGTTAAATAAAGCATGTGTTATAGCATGTTATGTTTTTCATATGTTATGTGAACACATGAACCATGTATGTTGTTTACTCCTTTTTTTTTTTTTTTTGGATTCATATATCACAGTGCCCTGTAATACGTTCTGTTCGATTTTAGCTTAGCATGTTGTGTGAACTCAGCCAATTGAACTTTATTAAATAAATAATTCTATAATTATTTAGTGCAATGTGTTAACTCAGGAATTATGTTCAGTATCAACCCAGTGCGTTTGAAGTAAGTGTGGAATATTTTATGAGAATCTGTCTGAATTCATACGTTCATACACACATGAATTCTCTGGAGGACGGAGTAAATCAAACAATTTTATATCAGGAAATAGCTTCTCTGTCTGTTTCAGCCTGGTTATTTCCATTACATAACAATTGGAAATGTGCATATTAACAGCAGACATTATACAGATGAAGTTTATTAGCACTACATCTATCTGTTACATCTCCTGGAAATCTCAAGACACCATAAATTATTTTGGGGAAGTAAAGCCTCATGATACAAGCTATTTGGAAATTCCGAGGAAAATCTTAGCTAGTAAAAACAAGAAAATTACACAAACATAATCCGATCAAGTCAGATCATTTTTTATGAGATGAATCATCTTAAGCAGGAAACTGCTTTTAAAAATGAGGGCTTCTCTAAAACTCCTTCAGAGATTCGATGTAGAGGAGAGCGCACATTGGATCTAAACAATGTATACACAGCTACTCAAGGCTCCCTGGAAAACTAAACTTAGTTAAGAAACATGAAAGGTTGAGTCTCTCTTCACCTGTAGCAATCAGTACTCTGCTACTAATGTACAGTTTTATGAAAAAGTATTTGCCCCCTTCCATTTCCTCTAATTTTTTCCTATTTTTATCACCAGATGCTATCAGAGCTTTATATGGGTCCTGCTGATATATAAAGGGAGTCTGAGCAAACAAGTACCCCCAGCGTACAGTGCTTATTTCATATATTTCTTAACAAAATTATCCAGCCTGGGACATACCACTGTGAAATAGTAATTGCCTCCTTGGATTCAGTAACTGATTGTACTATCTTTACTGTAGTTTCAATAACTGCAACCAAATGCTTCTTCTAATTTATTTTCACATACTTGTGTAGGAATTTCGGCCCTCCATGGCAGGTTGTTTCAACTTACAGTAGTAACGTTTGAGGATTTTCTAGCATGAACCTTTTTTTTTTTTTTCCAGATCCTGCCACAAATTTCAGCCAGTTTAGGTCTGGACAAACCATTGCATTAATTGTCCTTCATTCTCTTGCATGTTTGAGATCGTTGTCTTGATGTATGGCCCACTTGCATTTCACTTTGGCTGACCAACAGATGGCCTGGTGTTCTCCTGTAGAATTCCGTGATATGAAGCATAATTTATGCTTCTTTCAATGACAGCAAATCCTCCAGGTGATGACACTACTGCCTCCTGCTTAAACCTTTTTTTGTATATATGCATACCCCATCATCCTGTTCCTTTTCAAAATAAGCAGTGTTATGCAGAGCACAGAAAAAGAGTAAGAAATAATAAGTCAAATAAATTGAAGGGATGACAGAAAAAAAGGAGGATTTTCTCAGTGCCATCCAACTGCTACTTTCTCATTTTGTCCTTCCTCTTATTCACTTATTCATTCTTCCTTCATACATTTATTTTGTGATTGAATCCTCATTTATTCTTTTTCTATGACCAAACCACCTCAGTGCATTAATTCATATTAGTTACTCACTGGTGTATTTAGTTCACATTTATTCTGGACATTATCTCTTCTTGTTAAATGCATGGACTTAAGAGCCCCATTCCCACTGCATTCAACTTATGTTTTTCTTGACATAACCAATTTTTACTCCCATATAGCAAAGTAGGCAAAAGCATACTCTTATACAAGCCATTTTATTTATTAATTTTATTAATGTATTTATATGTCACATTTGTATAGCTGCCCATCTCCCACAAAGTGACTCTGAGCTTTCATTTTCACATCTTATCACTCATTGGTTGCAATTGATCAGATAATACCCACCATCTTTCTACTAGTATTTGCATGTCTTAATATTTCTCTATCCATGTTCCTGTCTTAAGTAAACAGATTCATCTACTCATGCCAGTTTTTGCTGTTTAATTTTTTTGCAGTTGTTCCCTCCAAGAACACAGGATCATCTGTGCTGTATATTCAAGTCCTTGCCCAATATATCTCTAATGTTACCACAAGCATTCTTAACAAATACATTAAACAGCCAAGGGAACATCACACATTTTTGTCTTACCCTCTGCTCAGTGTTGAATCATTTACCAAACATGCTATTTATTCTCACAGTGGGTTTCCTTCCATCATATTCCACTCTTACCTCATTCAGCAACCAACTTTCAATTCTGTGTTTCCACAAAACATTCCATCATTCAAGCTTATTCATTTTATTGTATGCTTTTTCTGTATCAACAAACATACTTTTTTTTTCCTGTCTCATTCATAACATTTCTCAGCGACCTGCTGAAGACAAAAATCTGGTCCGTGTACCCCTGCCTGGCTTAAGGTCACACTTCCCAAATGTTGCTTATGATCACCTCTAGTATTCCATCAGTCAGAATTCTCCCAAACAAAATTCTTCCCAGGCTAGCTTAACAAAATAATTGCAAACCTTTTGTTCAAATTTAACAACATTAAGGGAAAATTTCTTTATGGTTCTTAGTTCACAGCATCCAGTCTTCCTCAAGTTGACATCCTTCAAATATTTTGGGATGATACCTCCTAGAATCCCCCCACCAACTTGAGGAAGTCTGGCTTAAAATTTCTAGTGCTTTGTGAGAACTGAGCTAAAATCGCTCTTGAAGTGCACCTAGGAATGATTTTCCATGTGAGGGAATAAAGCAGTGGCTGTTTTGGTAGTGAAAGAAATTCTGCCCCTGACCTCTTGAAAGTTAGTAATCCGGTCCTCTATGATTAATAGCTAAAAACGATTGTCATGCTTCTCTGTGTATGAGTAGAAACGCAAGTGCGCAAATACATAGTTTTCTGCAGCCTGCAAGCGCATGCTACACTACGGCTGAAGCTAGTAAGTGTTCTTATCATTCCCACTAATTTGTGTAGAACACGGTTAATGAACCACAATAGGCAAATGTGTAAGGATTTGAAAACTGCCAGTAGGGCTGTTTGTGGTCAGGTGCTTTTCGATCAAGAAAAACGGATAGTTTTTTAGATAGGATATATAAATAGGCCTTCAAGCAAAGTACAAACTGGGAGAGAATAAATTCTTGATAACGATGTGGGTACACAGGACTCAGCATAAGATCTAAGGATTATAATTAGGGGAAAGGAGAAGAATTGTGAGATTCAAAATGTCGACTAAGTCAGACATTGTGCGGAAAGTTCAGTATTGTTGTGCTGTAATTTCAAAAGAGGAAACTTCTCAAAAGGAAAGGGTTGACTTCAAACTGCAGGGACCAACTGGGTGGTCAGACCTCTACACTGCTGGGTGATCATTTAAAAGCACTAAATAGAGAGTTACATTAAGTACACAGTTTTTTGATTAGAAAAAGTTCACACCAGACTAGAAGGATTCCAGAGTGATAAAGGCAAAAAGACTCCCCATAAAAATGAGTCTTGTCCAAATAAAAGAATTAAGGAGCATAAATCCATGGATGTTCCTGAAGTCTCTCTCTGTAGCTGCAGCCTACTTTGGAATATTAGAGACTGGGGAGAAGCAGCAAGAGGAACATGTTTGACTGGGGAGTCTTCCTGAAAGCTTCTTTTGAAGTAAGAGATGATGAAACTAAATGGACCTACTCCATTTTGTTTCAATACATGACTTTTTTTAAAATCAGAAGGAAGCAGTATTTGCTGCAAAATCTATTAATATCAGTTACACAAAAAGTCTTCTGGTGGTGGAGGAAGTAGCACTGCTTCACCGACATTTTGTTGGGACAGATTTGGTGGTATAGAGCACTGGAACTCTACATTTTGTTCCAAGGGACAGGGTTCAAGAGTACAAATATCTCCACTGACTCCACTAGGCCAGCTGGATGAAGGAGGGTCTACTAGCCCTGGACTCTCAGGCTGGACCAAAATGTCAGTTAAGTTGTTTGGTTCTTCAGAAATTTGAGTTTGGATGCTTGTTGAAGAATCCAAGGTTGCTGTTGCGGTGTGGCTTGACTCACTCTCTGTTCCTGCGGTACCACATCCCTGTGGAGCATCCACATTCTGCCTTGATTCAGAAAGCTGGTCTTCTGCATTTTCCAGCAGTTGCGTATTCTTGTTAAATTTCCATGGCAAAAGAGAGAGAACCGACATCCGCTTTATGCCTTGCGCGGGTTCTTTATCTACAGTAAGGTCAGGCACGTCTCCATCTGCAAATGGGGAGCGGCCTGCCCAGTGGGGAAGAGGCAAATTTGCCCTTTTCCGTTGCCTCCAAAGGAAGATGGCAACAATAATGAGAATCATGAACAGCAAGATGACCCCAATGATCACAGCAACTATTAAATGTTCATCTGCAAACTTAGCTCCTTTAGGTTCTTCTGTGGTGATAGGAAGCTGGGGATTGTTGGAAGGCATTTGCTCTTCATTTTTGGTAGGGACTTTTGATTTACTTGCTTGATATGAAGAGCTGTGGGGTTCAGAATCGAGACCCACTAAGACCAGCGCAGCTGGAGGCAACACGGTTGCAGGCCCCTCTGTCTTTCCAGCTGTGTGATTCCACCACAGTTGTCCATAGATGAAAATTAGAAGGATGGACTTGATGGCCATTGTCAAAATTCTGGGGATCTCTTTTGTAGCATCAAGAAGATAAAAGGTAGAGAGTAATATGAGCACCCGATTTTACCTTCTGAAAGCATAGCAACAATAAACATTTATAAAAAAAAGCCCGCGTACTGGAAGACACATGAGAGAATAGCCAGGATTTTACCAATTTCTGAGGAAAGAGATTTTAGTTTCAACTTATTTGTTGCTTTTAAAACCATCTTTAAAAAAAAAAAAATTTCAATATACAACACGTTTATTTATGAAAACTGTTTTTACCCACCCTTCGTCTTGAGGACCAAAATAATAAACAAAATGTACAATATAAATATAAATTAATGAGACCATGTCCCTAAACGTATACAGTGCAATAAAAATTGAGGCATTACAGACAAAATGTACAGTTGTAGGGTAGAAAAGTGTGTGCGCTAGCAACACACCTAAACACATACTCCATACAGATAACAATTTTAATGAATCCAAAAGCACAGCAGTTAGTAAAAGGCAGATTTACATTGAAATATGAGAATTGTTCTTTTAAAAAACCCTGAAGAGGTAAAACTACATATATTTTTAAGAGCCCTGAATGAATTCTACAAATCTGGGGCCACATTAAAAACAAACAAACATAGGCCCCATCTCGTACCTGCTTAGTAAAAGAACAAAAGGACATTGATCTTAATTTTTCAGGCATACTCATCCAGATGGAAGTGGCCTTTTAATACCAAGTTCCAAAATCAGTTTTTTGCGTAGTTTTTTTCCCCCATGGAGTGCAAAAAAGTATAAGAATAGATCAGTAGCCTTACCAATAGCCATCTTTGACTTGCATTGAGGATAATTCACCATTTATAACAAAGAAGTGCAAAGATACGGAATAATGAGTGCCTCATATCAGAGCTTGATTAAAAAGAGATGGCTCCAATGCTTGGATTCATTCAGGAATAAGATGGAAAATTGACATATTCAAGGTGGGGTTATTTGGGCACAGGGCTTATAGCTTGTGACATAGTTTTGGGATTTAGGTTAGAATAATGGGGGAAAAGTCATACAGCAAACAACATGGAAGATTTTTGTTGCTGTTAAATAAATTCTCAGCAGTAGTATAATGCAACAAAGTATTATTTTTGTTATCTATTAAAGATACTACCTGCTATCAGCCTTAGCCTACAGCTTAAATCACAATGATAATAAATGCATTAAAGCACCGTCAAATAATAATATGTTACTGCAGTGATTGCAGTCCAGCATGACCGTTTTTAAACAAAATGTCTTAAAAGACTCAGGAAAATTAAAAAAGAGTTTTTGTACTGTGTGGCAAGAATAGGACAAAGAGAGCACTAGGAGAGTTTTGCTGAGAGGGGAGTTCTAGAAACTGGTGCTGCGCTGAAAAGGCCCTGAATGCTGAAACTAGATTTGTTAAGAAGACAATGAGAACAGGATGGATATCAGCAGATATTTACTGCCTGAAGTTGACCAGTTACTGCTCTGGCTTTAGAAGAATGGGGGAGGACCCCAGGATAATATCCGTCCTTAATCAAATTGTTTTTAATAGATTTTTTTTAAATCCTGTATATAAACATGTAGAAATCCTATCCGTCCATCCCAGGATCTGAGGGTAGAGAATCAGGGAGCTTCCACTATCATGGTGTTCTTCTTCCCTAAACAGGGTCCAGCTATTTTTAAGGTTATATTAGTGGGCCATCACACGTGAAGAAGCCTGGCTTTTTTGCTGCCGTTCAAATGATCTGTCTTTCCAAAAACCTAATACTGGCATTTCCAAAAATGAACTCAGTGAGGCTCTTTGAATAAATGTGCAGAAGATTCCGCCATAAATGGTGGGGCTTGCAGTTAAAGGAACACTGCATATAGAAACGATTGAATGTGTGCTTAGTTTCATTAAAGAGTTAAAATTGCATTTGTAACCTGATCCAGATATCAGGGTGAAATCTGAAAGGAGATGGCTGATTTCAGAAATTACTAAGCTTCTGTCCATCCACTTTTGTGCTCCTGTTTGCACCAAACATGTACAAACAGATCTAATCACAGACCTAATTCTCTCATTTGGATCCTAGTACTAGAATTTAACCGGATGAAAGTCTCGGTCACAATAATAAAACAGACTTCAATATGAAGTTTTGAGAAAGAAACTCATTTAAATCTTTTACATCTGGCAGGAAGCACATGACACTTAAAATAAATTGCTACTCAAAGGAGTAAAGAGTGCCCACTTTTTGAGATCTAACATATTCCTATTTTTCCATATTAGCTTTTAGTCATTTCTTGTTTCTTTTGAGGGTATTTTAAGCCAAAGAAGCATAATTAAGTCTGTCTTACCTTTTTGATTTCTCCTGCACTATTCAACTTCTTGTTTATAGCATTACCTTTTAGTGTTACAAGACCAGGGAAGTGAGAACACAGCAAACACTTTAAATGGTATGGTGGCTCGCATATTGCAAAAGGATCTTACTCTGACATAAAGAGGAAGTTTATCAGTACATAATGCCGGAAGCCCCTCAAATTAAGAAATATTTAAACATGTCAGTATAGCTGTTTCCATAGATGAAGGAGAGAAAACCAAAACTCTTGCCAAAAAGTTAAGAGCAGCAGGAGGAATTAAGAAGCTGTTATGAAGTTGGGTGAAAAATGTTAGCATAACTGTAAAAAATATCCACTATTTTTTTCTCTTAGAAGGCAGGGAATTTTTTGCTTTCTTGCACCACTTCCCATGAGAATATCATTCATCCATCACAGCCTTTCTCTCAGGAGTCTTAATAATGGTTGGGGTGTGTGTGTGTCTATCTCTGTTGATCTGGTTTTGACAATCCCAGTCCTACTTTGCAAGGTCAAATATGCATGAGCTTTTTGCATCAGCCTGCAGCCCTGTTGCTTCTCCTTTCGTGTAAGCTGGAAGTTGGGGAAGCCAGGAAATTGCAGTTAAATATAGATTCTGACTACATGAGAACAAGGAACCCTGGTTAATGGTTTCTGAAAAAGAATAACCTAGCTTGTTTGGAAGCCAGGCTTTTGGCCAAGCTTTGGATGTTATGGCTTTGAATATTAATGCATCCTTCTGGATTTGTTGCTTTCTTGTGAGAACAGTGAAGCATAGTAGTATTAGTGTTTGAAGAGGCTCATACACATCTTTGTTTATTAAGTCAGGATTTAATCAGTTGCGACTAATAGCTTCAACCATGCTTTATGTTTTCCTAAATAGAGTTTCAAAGGGATATATTCAATAACCACGAAGCTAAATCCTTATTATTATTTTTTGCCATGGAAAAAGGAAGCCATAGTGGTCTGATTGTAGATAATGCACAGCCGTAATGGGTAGATTATCACATCAAACCAAAAGGTGAAATCAACCACTTTTTTGTTTGGCATCATGGCAACCAAAAGTGGGCATGAGCAAAACCCAGTGTGGTTTAGCAGGGAGCTATTCAGGTGAGAGCAGCCTTAGTTCAAATGTCAACTCAACCTTGATATTCTTTGTGGGATCTTGAGCTTGTGACCTTGTGTTGTCTGTTGATTAATTGCAGTTAGTAACATGAATGGGTGGGCTGGAGCAAGCCACATATACCTCAAGTTCCTTGGAGGAAGTATATAGTACAAAGCTAACAAATATACAAAGCCAGAGTTGATTAGTGCTAAAAATAATAAAAACTGTTAAGAAAGACTGAAGGAATTTACACTGGAAAGAAAAGGGAGGGGATATGTGATCCATGCGTTTGCTGAGCTATAGTTAAAAGCAATGTTTCTCATTATATCATTTAGCTAGTGAGATGGCTGTGTTAGAATGCTTAAAGTTTTCCTAAAGCAGGGGTAGGTAAGGTGGTACCCACAGGAATCTGGGTGCTCAGATATTCCCTTTGGCTTTTCATAAAGCATATTTGAATGCAAGGTACCAGCCACTGGCATTGTATTTCTGTGCAGGAGTATCTTTAGGACCCATAAAAGTCCCATTGAAATGGTGAAAATATCTAGGGGGCCACTTTGCCTTCTGGTCATTTTGTTACTGGCCATGTCTCCCCAGACAACCTTCTTGTGAATCATCAAGTCAACAGTGAGATGGGTGGTGACAAATTTGAAATATAAATAAAATAAAATAAACCACTTTGTGAGTACCCATCACACGCTCTCAAAATTCTGAATGTGCTCCTGGTCTGGAAACTTTCTCCCTCTGGGTGCTTCCAGATGAGCCATTCATAGCATTCCTGCTCAGAAAAGTACTATGAAGCTATTGCATCTCAACCATAATGGATTTTTTTTTGTAATCAGAAAGTTGAAGAATGGAAAAAAAGAAGAGGGCTACAAATGAAAGATGTGGTTGATTTGACTCCCCTGTAAGATGCTTGAAGTAGACATTGGAAGCTTTAACTGGAAGCAAAAGAGGTGTTGGATGGCCAGGGTTTGTAAAACTATGGTATGCCTATAGATAATGGTATATGCTTGTCTGTCTCCCACTTCCATGGTTGGGAGCTCTGCTTTCCTTTTTTTTAAGCGCTGGTGGTCAGAAGTCTCCAAGTGTTACAGAAAGGGGATCCAGGATCCGCTTTGGGGACTTTGGAGCCAGGGGCTAGTCACCTATGCACTAGGAGAATGATGTGTTACAGGCAGTGATGGCAGAAACAAGAACCCCAATAGTTAATCAAATAATTGTGCTTAGCTGAGAGTGAGTCTGATATGGCTCCTCATTAAGACCTTGCCTGGATAGATTTCCTGATGAGCAATTCTTGTATGGCTGTTAGCAGTGGAGAAAACTGTGAGCAGGAAGCACTGTGTTCCTTTGTGGTTGCATGTGGGTGCTGCACAGCTCAGACATCTTCCTCCTCAGTTAACTAAGCAGATGTTTTGTTTCCAAGGAGAGTTTGCTTGGCTGCTTGATGTTTTGTTCCTTAATGGAGAATTAGTTGCCAGACTGCTTGGTGTGCTCAAAATGATAAAGAATGCAAATTCTTAAGCAACTTAGTATAAGAAAAGAGGTGATGGTGGGGTCTGGAGAACTCCTTGCCCCCTTATCCAAACCTCTCAGCTAAGTAGGGAAGTTGATAGGGTTCAGCATTACAGTACCCATGTGGTATACACGGCTGGCTCATGCTGCCTGTCAGTATGCTCTCATATGTTTTTCTCTGGATATAAATTGAGCTATTCGTTCTTCAGCACTTTGACCTCTTGGAAGCTCATGCCAAATAGGAAGAGGACCTCTTCCATTTGGCAAATTGCAGTAGCCCTTTGGGGCCCTTTGCAACAGATGCTTCGTTTTTTTTTTTTTTGTGGGGAAGAGAAAGCCTTTTCAACATGCTTCCTTAGATGCATTGGACTATAACTCCAATCACTCCATGCTAGTAGTCTAACACATTTGGAAGGTACCTGGTGAAGAAGGCTACCCAAAGCATCCTAAAGCTGACTATCTTACAAATTACTTGTTCAAAGTTCTCTTAAGTTTTCATTCTTCACTGCAAAGCCTGTCCAATGACAGTGATGGCTGTCATACCACCTAAGTGCAGAGTCATAATATTAGTCTCTCTCTTACTTTTCTCTGCCCTCTATCTCTCCTTGTTTGAGTTATGCTAGCAATGATTGCTGCACAATATATGCTGTCGCTTAACTACATTCCTATGGAAAGTTGCACCCATTCAGTCAGACCAGTTTGCCATTAGCTTGTTAGCTTCAACTTTGTTGTGCCCAAGATAATTGAGGACATAACAAGCTGGGCACTGTTGTGTTAGTGGCAGGGGGGTGGGTTGACTCTACCCAGTGACTAGGTAACTCCTCTTAAGCTGGGGGAGGGGAGTTATAATCTTCAAATAAAGTAATAAAGAGGTATAAGTGATTGGACTTTGGTTTTAGGCTTCTGCTAGCAGCTAAACTAGAACCAGTAAATGGGCCTACAAGGATACCAAGAACTTCTAATGCATTGTAGAAAAGCAAAGAAATCATTAGGAAAGAATTCTAATGATAGCTGTGTATCAAATATGAGTTCCGTTTATACAGTGGTCAGTTGAGATTCTTGTACTTCTCTCACCTACTCTTACGTTAAAGACTAGAATCAGTTCTTTTTGGATTATGTTGATAAAGATTCCCAGTCATCCAGGTGGAATTGTCTGGAGGTTGAGTCATGGCAACTGGACTTTTCTTTTGGTTTGATACGTTTTGCTGCTTGTCCAAGCAGCTTCTTCAGTCTAGAAAGTTGGTTAGGGGGGACCCCATAAATGTTTTCCAGGGTGGATGAGTGAGGGATTAGGAGTAAGACTCTACTGTACTAATCACTCTCCTATTGTCCCTTCAACAAGCCCATCATGTCAGTGAGAAATGCAGCCACCCTGGAAGACATTTATGGGGTCCCCCCAACCAACTTTCTAGACAGAAGAAGCTGCTTGGACAAGCAGCAAAACGTATCAAGCCAAAAGAAAAGAAGTCCAGTTGCCACAACTCAACCTCCAGTTCTTTTCGGAGGAAGAACAGCCTCCATCTGTGCCTTGTTTTGGTCAGGGCCAGATATAGGATCAGGCTGTGTGCTTCTAACCATGTGAAAACTAGCTCCCACATTTGAGGAGGTAGGTAGCTGAGGGAGTTGGAGGAAAATATGAAATGAGGAAGAAGAGTTCTTCCCAGAGGACTGGGCAGGAACTTCATGTATCTGGTTGGAGTAAAATTAAGTAGAAGATCATCACTTTAGCTTATCTCTTCCATGTACATTCTTGACATGATATTGATTCTCAAAATACATTTTTTGGGGGGTGGTTACTAAAACAAATAGCAAGAACATCTATTAGGAACAGTGAGTGCTCTTTGAAAGGCTGTTATTCTTCCCCAAATAGTTCCTGCTTGAAAAATATGGATTATCCCTAAGTGGCATAGGGCAGGCTTTGGGTAATATAAAACTGGGACTATCCCAGTGGTCAACTGTTGGGCCACCGAACTCTCTCCTTAAAGCCAAGAAGATTTTCTATATCTCCAGGTTGACAGATGTATATTGAAGAATGTGCCATGTGCTTCTTACCTTCATGTGTGTGAGTCCTATCTACATCTCTGCTTCTTTTCTTGTCACCTGAGTTGCAATGTCCTCTGTTGGGTGCTTCCTTCTCACAACAGCTGTTTTAGGGGATTACATCCTACTCCTGCTGCCTTTGGATTTTTTAAATCAGTAAATCCTGGCTGGCTGAGATGAACTGCTAAAATTCCTTCCCACTTTCAGTCCTGCCATAGGAGCACATAAAGCTATCTTCTCCTAAGTCAGACTCACTGGCCCACTTAACTGTCTTTCCAGAAATAACATGCTGGCTAGGAATTATGGAAGTTGTAGTCCATCACATCAGGAGGATCACAGGCTGTATTCATCTTGTCTAGCAGTGATTTGCCAGGATTTTAAACATGGTTCTTCCCCAGCTACCCATGAGATTGCCAGGAACCCTCGCAAGGCAGCTGAAAAGTACGTTCTC